TCTTTCACACTAGACATTTACATTAGATTTGCTGACTTCAGATATACTGTTATAACTGTGTTTTGAGTTGTCTCAGAATTTATCATTTTACTTGTCAGAATTGAGACTAACATATTGATTTATAAACATTGCTGACAGTCGTCTTTTCTCATTTCTTTGAATGTCAATTTTCACTGCAATTTTTTTTCTCAGAAATTGGATTTAAAAAATGGAATAGTGCAATGTCCTTGTTTAATAAGTCGGTGATACTTTTACTAAATTAGGTTAAGCCATGCTGGTGATAAATGAATTTTATGATCATAATGCTGTGTAAAGGGTTCAGAATTTATATGGTAGTGGAATGTACAGCATGACATATTGTATGAACACCTGTATGTTGTTGATGACTTTATGTTGACCTCTAGATGTCTTTTGATTATTTTTGTCATTGGGTTGCTGCCTCGTTGACATATACCCCATATCTCTTTTTATCCATAAAACAAAAACAAAAAAGGAAACCCCTACAAACCATATTTGATCTCCAGTATAAAGAAATTTAAGCTCTGACTAGGGTTTTACATCCATTGGAAATGCGTTTAAGTGCAGCAAAGGTTAGCTGGGCCTGTATAAACCGACAGGGACACTAATTATGCCATGATTTGATGTGAATAAACCTGAAGTTTTCCTCTATTTGAATCATGCCTTGAAAGAGTTAATGGGGACCTGACTAATTTTGTATTCTATTCAAAAGCTATCTTGTTTTGGGGATTTTGAAAACAAACCTCCCTAACAAAAAATAGTAAGTCAGAGATTTTGTCAATGAACCCTCTGTGGCTTTCAATTTATCTTTTAGTGGTGTGTTGTTACATACAATTTGACCTTTATTTTGAAGTAAATTTAAACATTACAGGAATAAAGTGAATTTGAAGGCCAGCAATTGTCTTTACCAAGGTTTAAGGTCAGTTCCACTCCTGATGGCAATTTAAACCATGATGATTTGCCTGTGATTTACTTTTCATGAGCAATTTAATGTAATAAAGAGAGGGATTCAACTGTAATTAGGGAAAGTTGATAACATGTGTTGTCAACAGTCTGATTCTAAGATTAATTTGAAACTTGATGATTAAATGTAGAACATGACCTTACTTAACCTACTAATGTATGCATAAATTAAGAAAAAGATGTATCTTTGCATAATACTCCCCTATTTAAATGTACATGTAGTTGACCAATTATATAATTTGTCTTAGTTATTATAAAGTAATTTGTTGATTTAAAACATTTTTTGCTTTTTATTTCATTATAATTGTATTCTCAGGAACAGTTACTGGTTTTATTTTAAATGAATATTATTTGGACTGGTGTTTTACAACTTTCTTAGATGTTCTCTTGCTATTAGATGCCCTGATATTGAATTTAGGTTGCACAGTAGCTTGAGACATGATGGTGATTTTTCAGTCAATTAATTGCACAAAACATGAAGTGACATTTGAAGCTGAAGTGACCTCATAATGCTGATTATAGAATTTCATATATCCTTGTATATAAAAATGAGATGTTGTATGCAATGAGACGACTATCCAACAGAGTGCATGCAAATAATCTGGGTGTAAGCAATTATCAGTCAAAGTACTGCATTCAACAATGAGTAAAACCAATACTGTATAGTCAGCAATAAAAGTACTGTCATGAAAAAATATGATCGAACCAATACAAATGAGAAAACCAACAGCCTGACTATAATTACAAAACAATTAAACAAATATGATAGACAATGTAAAAAAAACAACCACTAACTGCAGGCTCCTAGCTGACTTTAAAAAATAGTCAAAGTGGCCACTGACCAGAGATTATTCCATTTGAGGATATTAATTAAACAATAAATAAATTGTATTTATTTGATTTAAGGAGGAATTTGGATTGATTATTTTAATTTCAAAGATTCAACATTTGAAGTTTAAGTAAATGGTTCATTGGAAAAAAAGTTTTGGATAAATAAGTTTTCTCTGTAACAAAAAAAAACTAACTAAAGGACATTTCACTGGAAAAAAATACTAATTGTCCACAATCTAAGAACAAAAATATATTATTTTTAATATTGATAGTTCTTCATTCACAAAAGGTATGGTTTTGCAAAGGTAGCAGAACGCATTGTCTCCAGGGTTAAGGATCACATGTAACAGTTGTGTAAACTTTCAAGTTCAGTTGGTTTACATCTGTGTTTTCCTTCATTTCTTATTCAAATATTTGACACACAAAAATAACTTATAAATTATCGAGGCGATTATTTTTTTTTTCTTCTTGTACAAATGTAGTAATCATAAGAAGAAAATTGAAGATAGATGTAACAATACATTGGTTTAAATACTTAAGTCTGACTTAGTGTTGCTTGTGTGTCTTTTTTTATTCTGTGTGCTGGACATATCAGTCCTAAAATGGAATATTTTAATGGGTATTACAATAATTACTATGATTTTGATATGTGGGAGGAGGTCAGATTCTGTATGCAAGATGAGTACAGTGAAGATGTTTATTCTATGGTATGTTTTTATCTATGTCCAAAAGTTATTTGATACAGAATGTAGAATAAAAAAAACCCTGAAAATTGATAGTATGAGTCACAGATATTCTTTGACTTTCAACCAAATCATGATGGTGTCCGTAAAAATTTTGAAGGTAATCATTACACAAATAAGACTACAAAATCAAAGATATGAATCAACAGAGATGTGGGGTATACCACACAACAACCCAACAATAGTCTACTGTGGATTCATTTATTTATTTTCAGGGGTACCAATTTTAATGGATTGAGGAAAATTTGTTGATATTTGATTTCGTGGTTTTGCCAAAGTCTGCATACGAGTATAAAAATTTGTACTCAGTGTAACATTTAATTTCATGGTTCACATATAATCACAAAATTCAGGAACATTGGTATTCCATGAACAATAATGAATCCACAGCCTCTTGTTTTCTTGTGTTGTCAAGTTTCTGTCTCATTTGCATATACCCTATATCTCCTTTTATTATTATGTTTGGCTGTTTAAACACTGACAGTATACATTAGTTTGGGAATTTTATGAATGAGTGAAAAACTGAAGTGGTAAGAGTATTGTTTAACTCATCCTTACTCAAGCAGTAAAGGTTGAATTCCTTTCATTGCAACATCTTGTCGACCCCTGCTGACAAATTTGTATCTTTTGTTATTTTAGTTGTTAGAAATTAAGCTCCAAATCTTCTAGTTAAGGGTATTATACTTAGTGGGTACTGCTTTAATATTGTAACCAGACAAATGTCCTCTTTTTTCTTGGCAACAGTTTTATTTTGTAGAACACATGTTTTGCTTTGCTGTATTTAGCAGAGACTTAATATGCAGGTTCAATACTTTTAAATATGAAGTAAAGGAGCAGTATGATTACAAATCAGACAACTTACCACCAGAGACCAAAGCATGAGGAAGTTAAAAACTATAGGACACTTTACAGCCTTCAACAATGATCAAAATAAATATCAGTAGTATAGATATGACCTGATGTTACAGCATTAAAATTCAGAGAAGGAAAGAATCTATTTTAAAACCTTTTATCCATATTTCTATACCCTTATAATAAATACTGTAAATTCAGAAATTATTGCGTGCATTTATTATTGCGATTTTGTCATTTTAGACTAAAATGCGATTTTAATTTTTGCGATAATGAGAAAAATCCTGTTTAATTCATACAACAAATTTCAAAATGCGAGTTTAAATTATTGCGATTATAACCCTGTCGCATTTTTCGCAATAATAAAAACATCGCAATAATTTCTGAATTTACAGTAAGGGGAAGGTGTTCAACAATACTCCATTGACAAGTTTTTGAATAGCATCTCATCTGCCCTTGATTCATGCAACTTACTGTTATGAAGTTGATCTCACTCCCTATCATATTATATTGCTGATACAGTCATTTGGAAGGTAAATTGAAAATATTTTACAAGGAAAATTTGACACCTGTTGTGAAATCAGGATGTTAATTTCAAGACTGACTATATTTTTCTAAAAACAAATTGGGTTATGCCAACTTAGCTATAAGATCTAATGAAGATGAATAATTAGTTATGGCTGGTTTCTGATTAATTTATCTTTTTAGAATTAAGAAAAGTCCCTTTACATATGTTTACAAATTATGTGCTCATATCATGGTATGGAGGTTTCATTGTCACTAATTCCATCTTTAGTCTTGTTGTTTCTTTACAACCGCAAAATTTTTGCATTCATATAATGGTATGGCGATGTCATCATGCTCTCAAAGCATCATTTCTTGTCAAATTTAAGTTTATAGCAAAGGCTTTCATTTGTATATCACTCAGGTCTTGGATAGGGCAGGCCTACTAATTTTACAGGAGTAATGACACTTAGGAATACAAATATATGGAAAATAACATTACTAGCAATCTCATGCCTACATTTCTTGTAAGATATTTATTAAAAAGTTAAAAGATTTTTTTTTATTCGTTAATGCCCTTGGGTAGATAAAGTGTGTGCAATGTAGGGGACATTGAAAGGCTGTTTTATTAATAGTCTTTTCCATTATGAACTTCTTATCTTCTTATGTTCACAATGTATTGTTTTAACAGAAACAGTGAGTTTTAATGAAATAAATTAGTGGCATTTGGTGAAATGTTAAAAGCGTCCTGTTTTTGGGGTCAAGCGACTTTATATACAAGCCAAAAGATGATGATCCCTGTTCAGATGTAATTGTTGACTCAGGAGTTCAAATTTGGCTTACTGTGTGATGAAAAGGAAGCAGGAAAAAGTAACTTTCAACCTACATCCTTGAAACTAATATTTATATACATCACACATTGTAGAAATTTGAGGATATATTCTATCGATTTTGCCATATGATATTGTGAAGCTTACTTAATCAAAAATATTATTTTGAAATATTGGTACAAATGTACCTGATTTATATGTTTGAAGTAAGGTACCTAGCCCTAGCTTATCAGTACATGCTTTTGTTTTTTATTTTCAGTATCTCTATGACGAGGCGGCCAAAATGGAGAATTTGAGGTAAGTGTTTTACTTTTCCTACATGTACCTACCTAATCAATGTTATCTGGCAGGAAACAAGCATATAGATTATTTGGTCTAAATTAAGATACAGAATGATAAATCTGATCAAACTTTTCTTCTGCGTCCAAAGAATAAAATGTGATACTCAAAAATCATTGACAGGAATGGGTGTGAAAATAAAGTGGACACTTGACAAGAAATGACCAATGGACAAATTTTGCCAATAGCAGGATGATTATTTATCCATTGAAGATAATGTTATTAGCTTTATCATATATACAACACCTGTAAAATCACTTCTAATAAAACAAATGGATCACAGATGTTCCAATCCTTTTCATTAGAAAAAGTTGATGTGGTTTCATTGTTTCATTCAGATTATTAGCTGGAGATGTTACATCATCAAATTTTGAAAAAAAAAATGTGAATATAACATATAAATAAAATGAATGATTATAGTATGACAACCAACAGGTTGTATGATTTCATGTATTGCCATAAGAATATGACAGCCTATCCTTGTTCTATAGAATTTGTCTGCAGCATTATAAAGCACTCCCAGGGTAAACAGACCTGTTAATGTCAGTTTTCATTGATACACCATAGGTGGCCTATATGAAACATATTAAAACATTACAGTTTTCCCCATTAAATCGAATTTCACTGTGGTAATGAATTAGAAAGCATATCAATTTTCCTTTTGTTGAATAAAAATTGAATTTGTCTATTTATCAGAAAGAAAAGATATCAAGCGGCTTTTTCACTTTTACCTTTTTCTAGTCCAGTAAGGAAATGGAGAAAAAGTATGCCTTAACTGTCTTCAGAAAAACGTTGACTGCCATCTATAATTACATAAGTTGTCATGGGTTTTGAGAATTTTCCATTGTATGGTATAACTTCATTTAGTTATTTTTTTTATGGAAATTGATATTAAAAAAGGAAATATAGTGCAGCTAAAGCAAATATACTTTTATGTCCTAGGGTGAAAAACAGGACTAAGCTTTAAAATATTCTATATATCCACACATTCATACAATTTTTAAGTCAATAACTTGAGTTATAATGCATCTGTTTGAAACAACAGCTATAAGCAAGTCAACTGAACCAGTGAATTATTTTACCATCACCCAACATGGGTTTTATAAAATCTGTAAATACAAAAATTAATAAAAAGAGCACAATATAATCAAAACTGCCAGGACTGTTGGATGAAAACAGCAATTGCACCATAGGTAGATGATTGCCAGAAAATGATTAAAATATAAATTTATGTGTCTGCTGATTTCAATAAAGGATAATATGACATGCAAGAATATAATCTGTTACATAACATGATAACAAAACTTACCACAGGCCATGCAAGAATATAATCTGTTACATAACATGATAACAAAACTTACCACAGGCCATGCAAGAATATAATCTGTTACATAACATGATAACAAAACTTACCACAGGCCATGCAAGAATATAATCTGTTACATAACACGATAACAAAACTTACCACAGGCCATGCAACAATATAATCTGTTACATAACATGATAACAAAACTTACCATAGGCCATGCAAGAATATAATCTGTTACATAACACGATAACAAAACTTACCACAGGCCATGCAAGAATATAATCTGTTACATAACATGATAACAAAAATTACCACAGGCCATGCAAGAATGAATAATGCTAAGGGATGCAAGAACTGGAAATTAAGGGATAGGAAAATAAAAGTAAATGATTGATGTGGAAGGAAACTGAATTATTGTTTTGGGGGAAAGATTAGTACTATGATCCTACAGAAAATAAGTTGAGACAAAAAAAGTGTGTTTACTGTAACCTGCCGAAAAAAAATAGGGCCAGTTGGTTGGCAAAACTTTAATTTTTTTATTTGATCATCAAACACCAAGATAGAGCTTTATCAGGTTCCAGAATCAGATCCTGTATTAAATTTACCGAAATATTTAGCTAAGTGGCCACCATTTGTCCTTACTAAGTTTTACACAATACTTGTTGGCAATTTTCACCACTGAGCTAGTGAATGAACAAAAAGAACATCGCTGTCAAGAATATTAACAGTAAAATTATAATTTGCCCAATTTTCATTGAAAAAAATAGGGTTGACCCTAAAATAAAAAGGGTATGTCAGGGTACAGTAAACACAAATGTTTTGTTTTTTGTCCGACAATTGTCTGTTGACAATCACTGTAAAGATTTGTTGTGGACCTGCATTTTTGAATAAACAGTCAACTGGAACTTTTACCAGACATAAGGTGTACCTATGACACGAATCTTCAGGGCCTAAAAGACAACCCCACCCTCCAATGACTGACAGGTCTTGCAAGATCTGACATCATTTAGATTTGAAGGAGTTGAGTTGGTATCTTATTAAACATAACTACCCCTCATTTACCATTTTTATGCCCCCGCTGTAGCGGAGGAGGCATTAAGTTTTACCCTCGTCCGTCCGTACGTATGTCCCAAAATTGGTTTCCGTTCTCTAACTTTAGTTTGCCTCAACTAAATGTTATGAAACTTATACACAATGCTTATTACCACAAAACACAGATCAAGTTTGAATTTTGGTGGCGTCACTTTTACAGTTCTAGAGTTTTGCCTGTTTACAAATGGAAAAATTGCTGAATTTTTCGTTTCCGTTCTCTAACTTAAGTTTCTCTCAACTAAATGTTATGAAACTTATAAACAATGCTTATTATAACAAAACTCTGATCAAGTTCAAATTTTGGTAGCGTCACTTTTACAAATCTTGAGTTATGTCCCTTTATAACTTTATATGATATGCAAGCGGGGGCATCATCTGTGTCCCATGGACACATTCCCCACTTATTTTCAATGATACAGATTTGAAGTGACCGGAAGAAAAAATGTATACACAAAGCTCAGTTTGTATTTCTATACAGGGATGTTTTAATAGTGTTGTTATCCAAATATATGACCATGCCTTAATAGACCCCACTTGTCAGTAAGGAAAAAATCTGACCTTTACTTTTGCTACTGACCAAACAGAATTGCAACAACTATATTATTCATGGTGGTGTTTGGAAAGTTTCTTCAAATGTTTTCTATTAAATCAGAATCTTCGGGTATTTTCCTAAAATAAAGCAGATTTTTGGCTGAAGCAATTGCACAAAAATTGACTTTCAGTAGATTAAAAAGTAATCTCAATACATTACAGACCCCTTTTTGTTCATATCAAAAGGGTCAGGTGTTGATTGGCCATCTTTGGAATTTTCTGAGAAACAGTCTAGACTTGGGACAGTATAGGGCTTGACAAATGGTATGAACATTGAATCCCACATCTTGTTTCATTCATATACACTCAGATTTTATAAACTGGTTTTCCACAGCTAATTTACATCTCTGAGAAAAAGATGAAATACGGGGCTTGTGTAAGGGGGAAAAAAATATATATAGTTGTGTTTCCTGTCTTCATTACTACCATAAATTTTCCTGCCAACTCTTAATACATTTTATGAACATTTTTGGTGAAACACTGTTGAAGTCTAGACTCTTACCCTTAAGCAAGGTTAAAAGTCCAGAACATTTTATGAAATGTTCTATGTAAAATAATTTTCAAAATCAAATTACTTTTCTTACGTACCTACCTTCCCAATTTTTTTCTGCCAAAAGGCAGGAAACAAGCATATATATTATTTTGGTCTATGGTAAAACGCAGACTGTAAAATGATCATTTCTGGTCAAACTTTGCTTTTATACTGCAGTCTAGAGAACAAAGTGTGATACTCAGAAATTATTGACAGTAATGGGTGTGAAAATAAAGTTTAAGATAGGACACTTGAAAAGAAATGACCAATGGACAAATTTTACCAATGTCAGGATGATTATTTGTCCATTGAAGATGATATTATCAGCTTTATGACATATATACAACACCTTTGAAAGTGCTTCTAGGTTATAAAGGTTTAGGTCACTGACTTATTTAAATCATCTCCCAGATCTGACCATAAATAAATTTACCAGGATGAATGCCTTGAAGAGACTATATATTAATGGATGTTGTCAATTTAGCTGTTAAAACATTGCATAAATTGTCCAAACAATTACTTAAAGGAGTTCCCCGCTGCTCCATTTATGGCAATGATGATGAATATGCTTGGTCATTTTTTATGAAGTTTTTTATTGGATTTTTATGATATATTAAGTTACTGGGACACTGCTTAGTGCCACCACACTAATAGATGCATCATAGATTGTTGTGATTGGCAGGTATTGGAATATTTAACTCCATGCCATGAAATGGTAATGATTGATTGATATGTAATACCCAGGGGTGTAACAAAATGACATTTAGAAGAAGATGAATTAGAATTTGGAGGTGTTTTTTGGAATTGTCGCATTTATTTTGTGGGTTTAGCTTTCAGTGAAATACTTCAGAAAAGAAATATCTTGCTTATATAAATAATAAAGAAAATTAAAAACACAGAAATGATTCTTTTTGTCTGTTTTTCAGTTGAAGTATTACTATGCACTTACTGTTTTGATTTTTGGCAAATTATATTTGATTTAGTTAAGCAAACACAACGTTAGTGTAGAACAAATAAACCATAGACAAATAGTCATTGACTTTTAAACTTATAGATTTTCTAATAGAAAATCTTCAAAAAAAATAAAAAACAATAAGTAACATATTGATTCCTTAACTGTTGACGACATCCTTGACACAATTTGATTCCTGCTTGTTTAAGATCTTCATATGATGCAAAAAACAATTGCAAAATTGAGCCTGAGTGCCAGTCAATTGAAATATCCAGCAATCTTGCTCTTTTTACTTTTACATTTTTCGTAATGGAAAATATTGCCAAGATGCAGTATATGTTCCTTGTATTAACCTTCTTATACTCCATCAATGTACAAGGCAGTACTAATGAGTCAACTCCAATCTAATATAGTCTACTGAAACATGTGATGGATAGAATTAACCTTTATGTCTTAAAGGGTCATCACTAAGTCAAAATGTG